TCGTCATTAATGGTACGACCAATGTAATCTCTTTCTTATCGGGAAAGTTTATTACTGTATTTTGAATTTCACGTTCTGAAACTGGATTTAAAATATGGATTCAGCCCTTTAACTCCATTTCTAAATTCCTTCACAAATTTTATGGAATGCTTAATCATTTGCCGTACTAAACAGTACTCATATTCTTGAGCTTTGGTACAGTTTGTCTATAATCAACTCTCCACTGGGATACCTCTGCTAAACGATTCCGCTGTTACTGTATTGTATAATCTTTTTATAACCAGGTTTTGGTCAGAAATGGACGGATCTTGTTCTTCAGAAGAAATAGCTGTGGCCAAATGAGTGTTTTTATGTGGCCTTTGGTTGAGACTTTTCATCAGTTACCTGCCACGTTTTCTTCCCGGTGACGGTATAGCTTTAAAGTGGTACATCACCCATATCCAATATTTTAGATATCAGTATAGGCATCCGAGGCTGAGCGTCAGGGGCAGAGGTCGAAGTTATTGAGAGTAACCGAGTTTTGTATGGTCTCCAACATCATCCTGGTGAAACGAATGATCAACAATGCCAAGAGCGACCAGACTCTTGCTAACTCCTTTCAGCATATCAAAATTGCAAATATCTGCACAAGCATCGTAGATCAAGGAATTCAGATGGGCGGTGTTAATGTTAGGTCATCTGATTGTCTTTCTTACGACATGAATTCCTTCGATATATCCACGGTTGTCCAAGGCCGTTTTCCAATACTCAATTTCGGCTCCGTCTCAGGCTTCAACTGTTTTTTACTAGCTGACTTTGAAGCTGTAAGCGCAGTAATCAGTCTAATAGTGCCACAAAACAGCAAATAGGGGCCCTAAGATGCAAGAGAGCCAGAACATAGAGTAATCCAATTTAATTAAAACGCTTCAGGCCCGCAATTGGGGATTGATTTTGGAAACGAAGCCTGAGACGGAGCCCAAGTCGAGTACTGGAAAAGGGCCCAGGTTGAAAAGACCATAACAACCGCTCCTTCAAAACATTGCGAGCTTCATCCCACGCCCTTGTATCAAGATCTGCATTGACGATCTTGCTCCATTAATTACAGGTCTGGTTAACAAGTCCCTCTAATCTGAATATTTTCTGAACACTCTTAAAATTTGCACACATCAGACTGTTGTTAAAATGCAATTCTTGGTAGGGAGGAATTGAAAAACTATCGGCCTGTGGCTAACTTGAAATTCATTAGTAAAGTTATTGAAAGAACTATTTCCATTCAAATTATGCCAGTCATTTCCATAGCGTTGCCCTGCAAGATGCGTTCTTCAGTCTGCCCACTGAATTAACCACAGCGTCAAGACAGCACTGCTTGGCGTTGGAAGCGACATCCTGAAAGCTTTGGAGGAAGGAAATATTGTCCGGGAGCCCCCAGTAGAGCATTAATGATCGGTGTATTACGCAATCACCGATAATAATTATCAAGTGACAGTTGTACGTCGGGCTCATCGCCTGTCAGTCAGCGTCGTGAATCATTAGCCATTGAATTGAACGACATCCCCCCCGGTTATTTTTACATTATTTACATTTTGGCCATGCGACGTATCAGGGAGCGTCATAACATTCAGGATCACTTTTATGAAAACGATGTGCCAGTTACACCCGCCTTTTAAAAAAACCTTTTCAGAGATAACCTTGCCCGCCTGGAACCATGTACAAGTGAGATGAAAGTAATTTACTAAAGTTAAATGATGAGTTTTTTACCATTCGTTTGCATACATGCAATATGGTCACTTCAATTGTGCTCTGCCAAGAGTTTGCAACGTAGTGGCCCCTGTATTCGCTTGTCGCCCAGCGCCCGAACGGGGCGCTGGGCCGGGAAGGGCTGACGGCTTTGCGAAGTGATTGGCTTCCATTTGTACAACCTGCAACTGCGGGGTTATTACTGCCTGTTGGCGATACGTTTTTTAATTTTTTTGGTTCGCCAATGGCAATGCTTGGGCAAAGTGTCGGCCATATGATAAAAACATGGCCTTGGGACTATCACAGTGTGGTAATTCATCTTCTGATTAAGTATCACAGATCACGTGTCTTTTGGTGAATCTTTTTTTTTCACCATCAGCCCTTCCCAGCGTTCTGTTCGGACGCTGGGTAACAAACGAAGCCAATATAAACAATGCGCGTTTGAAGGGGTTGACATGTCTGGGCGTGTCGACCGGCAATGTGCATTTAGAAAGGGTCGACACATTTTGCACATTGTGACTGGCCAACGCTTTGCAAACTCTTGGTAGCGCACTATTGTGAAACGCTCCCATTCAACGCCTCCGGCGTTGCGAAGAAAACAGCGCCCTCTCTTGATCCAGATCACGGCCCATTACACGCACCAAACATTCTTTGAGCGTCACTGCCCATTCTTCAACACCTTCACTGGCTTCCTGTGAAATACAGAATCATGTTACAAACTCACGCTTCTTATATAGAGTTCACTCCACAGCATTTCTCCCCATATTTGTCCACGCGACTTGCTCTGTACCATTCTGGTCGGTAAGGTCCCAAGTCTGCCCGGTACAACCAGCATCTGCTGGCTGTATCAAGATCTCCTCGATCCTAGGATACAGATCTCTCCATATTGCTACCCCACGTATGTGGAATAGTTTCCTTTGAGCATACGGTCCAGCACATCACTCAGTTTATTTAAAACGCATCTCAAAACTTATCTTTATAATCTTGATTATAATATTAGATTTCTGATAGGACTTGTTATGGTGCCCGTTGGCATTGTTTCACGTTCTGGATTAAAGTCGAGGCAATTGGCTAAAACATCTTGATGTTATGTTTTGAAAAAATGTGTACAATCATCCACGCTGGGCGACATCCGCCGTCTAAATCTTACTGCTTTCAAACTGACGTACAATAAGTAACGATCTACAAAACATTCAAGATATAAAACAAAAGGAAAAAATGATGAATAAGATAAACTTATCAATAAATATGGTGTAGGTGTTACAATAAAGTAAATTTATAGCGATGCATTTTAGCTATTTCGGCACTGAATATTAGAAGCCATTACTGTAGTGGCACGATGCCCCGTGGACAGGTGGAATGCAAGCGTGACATGCCTCTTCGACCAATGGGGTGTAGTGATTAGCCAAACGCAAAGAAAAGAAAAAGGGGCAATGTTTGCTCCTTTTTCCTTCCGACAATGCCTTTCAACCATGTTGTGCAAAATCACCCGTGTAGTATTTGTAATAAGGCTTATGTACTGTAGCAAAACTTAGGTTTGCACTTTTTAGACTGACTGGAAACACGTGAGGACTGCATGGGCTTTTGTCGCAACAACTACTTCATCAGATGCAAAGAGTAGGGAGGCTGAGTTTATATACCAGACACGAAATGGGACAGATCCCCCCCCCCCCCACAAGGCCAATCCCTATGCACACTCCAGCCTATTGTTACCTATAACACATTCCCCCCATGTCTCAAAAGAATTCCCGAGATACCAGCGTAACAATGACCAACGCAAAAGCGGGGGTGGGAGGGTGCTCTCTGTCCCATAGTTTATTCATTGAAGTACGGCCTTGCAGTGGTATACAAATGCAATGGAGATGGCTGATAGGTAACCTGGTCGTGAGAAAGAAAGCCTCAGTATCAGTCCCAGATTAATGCAGTTCAGCTTCTTGATAACCCATTGTTCAGCAGCTTCACTGTGAAGTGTGGACTTGAATGCCCCATGTACCCTGAAAATGGCTCTTTAGAGGAGACTAGTCTTTGTGCCTCCTGAAATCTTCCCCTATTGGAATGTCGGACTTTACTTCCCTTTAAAAAAACTCCAGAGCCACGACTAGTGGGCTGGGTTTGGGCGGCTTGTTCTCGTATGTTCACAAACAGCTCGATTTTGTTGTTTGTGGGTGGGCCGCTCGAACGCACAGCCGGTTATTGCTTGTAGTTAATGACAAGCAACACGCAATATGGCGGCGTCCATGTACAATATTCGAGAATTAATGTTTGGATAACTGGACTGAATTCTTTTCTATTTCAAAAACAAACATTCATTTCTGTGTTATGGAAAATAATGAATGATATTTTTTTCAAAAGTCCCATTGTCTGTGGCTTTGTAAGCAATCTCTACTTTTGGCAGCTGTTCAAAAATCAACTCTCACGAGTTTTACTGTGTGGTCCTATAAAACCCTAACGAGAAGGTGGTGTGTGATCCTTTTCCAAGAACAGTATCGTTGAGTCGTGTTCCCGCGGTTCGAGAGCGAGAACAAGAAACTCGTGTCAGGTACAGGCCGCCCGATCTCGACCTTTTGACGTATGGCGGACTCAGTAGAAGGGTGCTATTTGGTTTGGGTAAAATCTTGCGTGTTTACTCCAAATTTACCCCCTTCAAAATAGCACCTCGCCCCCAGTTTGTCCGTCATGCTTCGAAAAGCATACAAGACAACAGCCTGTGCATTGAGCCATTCAGTCGAAACAGTATGTATTTTGCACTGTCACGGAAACAAAATGCACATGGCGTAAGAACCAGTTAGATTTTCACAAAATGGGTATCAAATAGAACCGTAAGAATTTACTTCTAAATTTCTTAAAGCTTGGTGCGTGAAAAAATGCATTGTGAGCTGTGGCTATACTGCAGGAACCCAGCCGAGGAGTTACTCAACGGCTTGGGACAGGAATAAAGCATTTATGTAGATGCAAATGTCAGAGCTGGCCAACGCTGGACAAATAATGATTCATCTCACGGCTCTCAAAGCGCCAGTGAAGCCTTTTTTATCCTTGGTACTATATGGAAATAATGGTGAGTGGTTTAAGTCGGAGAAACGACAAAAAGTCTTTGATTCGAATGGGCGAGGACACTTCTCCTAAAATTGAATGGACAGTTCAGACCTGCAATCGTATAAAGCGTGTTATTTTGTATTCATGCAAATAAACACTATGGCGAATTGCGTGAGCCGTGTGGAAAATCTCTATTGTAAGTAGCAGCGACACCTAAAACAACCGCAAAAGGGAAGGTCCGGAATAGTGTGGAGAAGATTCCTGTCTCGTTAGGAATCTAGAGAGAGTTAGATCTGAATAGACTCGTGAATAAAAGGTTTATCATGGGTCACATCGTGACAAAAAAGGGAGCGTAGGAACACTCCCAGGTGCATCTCACAGCTGGAGCGAATGCTTACGTTACGTCATCTCAACGCAAGTTATATGTTTTTTCTCATGACCGATTAAAGAAAGGTAGTATCGTCCAATTTCCGCGGTCGCGGACAACATGGCCTGGCCCAGACGGTCGTATCCTTGGCGATGGATGATCTTACTGGCGCGTTTCGCCGGGCTCCTCGTCTGTGTCGGCACATTTCTGTCGTTAGGGATCTTCATACCACATTTGGTGGAGAGCTTCTCCACCACCACTGCAGCTGCTGGGCTGATCTGCAGTGGATCCTGGGCGTTTGGTATGATCATTGGTGGTAAGAAATTGTCATACGAACTGAGGCCTTCTATCTACTGAATAAGATGATCATTGACAACTGATTGTCATGCCAATTTTAATTGCAGGTTTTTTCCCTTACCCAACGTATTTATTTTTATAAATACTGTGTACTCAGTGCTTGTCCGATAACTTGCGAAAAAAATCCACAAAATATTTACGTCAGGTAAAGGGCAAAACCTGTAATTAAAATTAACATGACCCACACGGAAAGTACATCTTGAAATAAGTTTGCGGTACCCGCTGCTACATCTGATTCCGCCGATCCCTGCAAGCTCGGTGGTTATGACGTCTGCACTATAGTAAGCAGGAGGTCGTGGGTTCGACTCCCACTCGAGTAAGCTTGTGAATTTTTTTCGCAAGTCCTTAGACAAGCAGTGGGTACATGTATACATGTACAGTTTTTATTAAAAAAAATATACACGTCGGGTAAGGGCAAAGCCTGTAATTAAAAGTATACCTTGAAATAATTCTCATGCTTCAACGTAGAGAAACTTTGACCGGTAAGAATTTTTATAGTTAGACAAACGAACGTAGGTCGTTCGATAATGGCTGGAATAGTTTGTGGACGTTGCCATAACGTGTCATCACTGATCGTTTGCAGTGGGCCCTGCCAGTCGCGGTGAGTATTGTTCGGAGCTTCCGTTCCGTGACATTCGCATTTTTTTAAAGATAGAACTTTCCGCCATAGAGGGACATGGGAAATGTCGAGAGCAGCGTTGCTGTATTTGTCTGCAGAGTTTTTGGTGTGGTATTAATTCGGACTCCATGCACGAAAGACCAATCTTTGATCTCGTTACGCATGACGCCAATACCTTGGCGACGGGGAGTCAAATTGAAAAATGAGACCTGGGGCAAATTTAATAGAGCTGCTCAAGCACAAAATTTGCTTAAGCGTGAAAAAACCTTGCTTAAAAAACAAAGGTTACCAGCTCAGCTCAAACTCTATCTGATTGTTATGCTAACCAAAAGACAGCTAATTAAGATCCCAAAACAATGTACATCGCATGGAGTTTTGGCTGGCTACCTGATTTATCAAGTACGGTTTTTCGGGCTTAAGCAGATTTTGTGCTTTAAGCAGCTCCATGAAATTGGGCCATGATGATCTCACAGGAGGCAAAATTTCATGTGACTCCTGAACCCGTTTGCAACAACACAGCAACCAGGTTGAGATTGTGCTTAGGTACCGGTAACAACGTACGACAGTTCAGTTACGGAATACGGTGCAGCTGTGTAATTATGATGTAATTTGCCTCAAAACAGGTCCTTTCGTGGGTGCCTTGCTTAACTCATGTGACCCAAGAAAGGTGACCATGATTGGAGGGATGCTATCAGCGATTACTAACACGGCAGCAGCCGCCTCCTCATCGATAACACAGCTGGCAGTGTGGTTCGCGGTTTCGAGTACGTATTTCAAGTTCAATCTATTGAAGTTCACAGTAACTTGTTCAAGTTAGATTTAAATAATGTGAGTAAGAACCAATTTGTTTCATTTGCAGGTGGGGGTCTGCTCTTTGTACAAATCGCTACAGTTAAAGCTGTCGCAGAATACTTTCCCGATAATTTTGCTGTTGCCAACGGCGTCTCTCTAGCTGGAGGTATGGTCGGCATGATGGTGTTCCCTCCCGTTATGGAATTTCTGATATCTTTGTACGGATGGAGAGGTGCTTTGGCAATCATGGGAGCCGTTACCTTTCACTACGTCGTTTGTGGAGCACTTCTAAGACCTTTGCACCATAAACGGGCGGAAAAATACAGTCTGGTGCCAAGCAGAGGTGATTCCGAAGATGTGAATTCAAAGTCAGGACAACAGGCAGATGGAAAATCCAGAAGTTGTCAGGTACCAACCGCCTCCCAAAACCTGACGGAGAGTGTGACTGAGTATCTCGACACACAGCTACTAACAGAACCCTTGTTCATTGTTTATCAAGTGGTTGTAGTACTTTGTGGCATTGTTTACACCATGTGGCATTTATTTCTAGTTCAACGAGGCATAGAACTCGGCATCATGGAGTTTCAAGCGGCGTTCCTTGCAACTTTTGGGGGCTTGGGGTCCCTAGCAGGTCGCCTGGGACACGGTCCTCTAGTGGACAGTGGTCTCGTCAAGGCGTCCACCCTCTTTGCCATTGCATCGCTGGTCTTTGCGGTATCTTGCCTGATTAATATCCTGGTCGCTTCCTGGTACTCGGCTTTGGCAGTCAACTACTTTGTCTCGGGAATGGCAAGTGGGGTGACCTATTCCTTGGCTTACGTGATGGTGCGAGAAGTCACTGGGGACCATCACATGTCTGCCTTCGGATGGCTGTTCACGTCCTTGGGAACAGGAGAAATACTCGGTGGATTTATTGCGGGTGAGTACCTTAAATTCCCCACACTCTGCGGCCCAGGTTCGCGAAGAAATGCTAGGTTTTAAAAATTGAAGACTTTGACCTTAATCCGACAAATCCAGCATGAATATTAAAACCAGACTTTTATTTATGGAATTATTGCCTAAATAGCCCCCATCAATTAAAATTCACGCAGATAGGCCACTGCCAGAAATTTTTTGGTCGGTTTTTGTGTAGATTTTGGTGGATTCAGACAGATGTCTGACGAAAGAACGGAGAGGCTCTTGAGTCGGTGCTCAGAAAGAGTTTTGTTCCCCTTAAACAACTATTAATTTTGCAGGGTGGATCCACGATACAACTGGAGACTATGGGATCGTTGTTCTGGCAATTGGAGGCTTGGCATTCATCATGGGTGTCACTGTAACATTGACTCGATGTTTGATATCTTGGTCTGGAGGCAGTGATGAGTGATGTCCCTGATGTACGATTAGCAGATGCTACGGTACCAATATCCAGCGGATTTCTTTGTTGAGGTTACAAAAGATTAATCACATGGAACTTTGCCCAGAAATTCCAACGCACGCTAATTTCCAATTGTGAGATGGCATTTGTTGATAATCATAAATGTCCATGTATACCATAAAGTGAAATTAATTACCAACTTCTAGGTCCTTTCATTATTAATATCGCATTTGTACACACGATATTCAGAAAAGTGAATTTTCCATTAGCTAAATTATATACAATCACTTTAGAATGCATATCGTTTCAGAACCAGAGTCGAACAAGGACACCTGTAAATAAACAAACTACTCTTGAAATCTGACATTACATTTGAACAGGAAGTTGACGTTCTCCATTACTTAATTGCTTTGCAAGGGCCGCTTCTTGAGACCTTGGTTTTTCTCACTATCTGACGGTGGCCTCCTAAATATTTGAAAAACAAAATCCAGTGTTCAATTGAGGTGTCCGTAAACCAAAGCTTGGCTATGTAAATTGCGGTTTTATTTATAGCATTTTGTATTTTGTCACGCATACCGGTACAAGAGCTAAAATCAAGTGGGAACGAACATAAGAAAAATTGATACGGGTTTTGTTTGGTTTTTGTGGGGGGGTTGGTTTGCTAACTGGAATGAACGGTAATTGTAGTGCAATATAGAATTTGATCAATTTGCCTTATAAGTTCCAATATTGGTTTGAAATTTTGAATTAAAGTTATGTAATGTTATTTAGGAACGAAAAAAGCTGGTACTGTAAGAGCAGTATTTATACATAATGTTTCTGGAGTTTTGAAACGAGAGACTCAGCAGATTTTTGTCTCGTTTCGTTCTCCAAATTAATTGATTGCTCTTATAAGCGCACCAGTGTCCGCACCGTCAATTTGTGACTTGTATAAAACGGCAGCTTTTATTTTACGGCAGCATAACTACAGTCGTATACCTTAGCTGCAATGCATTCATGAAACACATGTTCCTGAGTTTTGTACATGTACATTTATTTGCAAAATGTACAGGCAGTAGGGGTAAGAGGGCAGCCAAATCCATTGTCTTTAACTGAAAGAACTGATTTAAGGCCTGGTGAACGTGGAAAATTAAAAAGCTCATTTTCTAGAGAAAAAAAAAACATTTGACGAGGCAATACGTGCGAAGTGTCCCTGCTGTGAAAAGAGGTCGGGTCGGGTAGCGCAGCACGAGAATTGACACTTGTTCCTCACCTTTTATTTCTTCAGCATGATTACCAATTATGACATATATATACAGTAAACTTTGGGCTCTATACAAGATATCTCAAATAATCCTTCCTCCATGGTTCCATAGACCTTTTTCCAGTGACATCAAAGGTTCCTTCCTCCATGATAGAACAGTGCGACTTGTGGTCAATTTTCTAATACCAACGAAGCCGGCTCTTCGGGGGGGGGGTGTTCTTAGAGGGGAAGTCCTCCCCCACCGGATACGTCCCCGCTCCGGGTACAGTATTAGTGCAAAGCTTTTCGCCATTGAAGTGAGGGATAGCAAAATCGTAGTTACTGAGTAGAAGTTCGTCGACAGAATATTCCTATCCTGAGCTGAATACTTTGGTAATTCCTTTTAAATACAGTGGCCACCTAGTTTTTATACAAGGCACCTGTGTGCACATGAGATGAACGCATTGGGGCTGCATCATTTCTGGTGATAGGCCTATCCATTTTGTGACCAGTATGGGGGGTAGGGATGGCGCACCGGTGCTTTCCTCGCCTTCCATAACGGCCCGGGTTCGAATCCCCTCCAGGCCAACATGTGGATTGGGTTCTCAGTTCCCAACTGATTACTAATATTGTTATTAATTATTTCTAGTGATGACACCACTGATCCTCAAAGCGCTCTTGTCACGGCTCGTAAGCCTGAAAAAAAAAACTGTAGGGAGGAGACAATGAGAAGCAGTCACAGCTTTTGAGGTGAGAGGAAATTCCCAGAAGAATGTTCTGGGTAAAACCCACGGAATCAGGTGGGGACTGAAAACCCAACCCACATGTTGACCGAGCCAGGAATCGAACCTGGGCCGCAGAGGTGGGAGGCAAGGAAAGCAGCTCTTGGTCAATTCTGACTCGCCTGGATTCCGTGGGTTCTCCCTGGAATATCTGTCGGGGTTTTCCTCCCACCTCTAAAACTGAGTTGTGTTCATTGTCTTCTCCCACACCCACTGGGAGGTGGGAAGAATACTTTTTAACTGATAGCGCTTTACCCTGGTTAAATAAAGAATAAAGCAAATGGCGCAAAAGCTGCTGTTCTACAATGCTATTGATTCAAATAACGTGCTAGCTATGAACTAAGTCCACGTGTTAAAGGGATTCCTGTAGTGGATGGCAAGGCGTTGCACAAGAACACAGTCACCTTTGTAAATTGGATGCAGTCTATCCAGGACTTTAAAATACACAAACTCTCCCAACACCAGACAGTTCCCAGACAGAATGTCCATTATTTTGCAATGCATTGTTTATTAAAATTTTTCTAGAATGCAATACATGGCAGGACCGAAACCATACCATTCAGCTTGTCCCCCCCCCCACGTGGATTACGCAAATACAACTGTTCCCTATAAAATAGTGTGTAGATATTGATGGGGAAACACATACAGACCTTTCGGGTCACTCACCACTTGCCTCGTTAAAATCACTCTCGCCGTTACTCCCGTTGCCATACTGAGACGCTAATTTTTGATTAACTTCATCGTTGGAGATCACAGTGTTAAGAATAGCTTGGGGCTCAACATGAAACAAGTTCTATGTGACTCGTGGAAAGAATAACAGTTGAAAAATAAGCCGTATATAATACGTCTTCGCCGATATCACTTATCTTTATGGGATTTAGAATCGCGTTTTTATACAATTACCATTGCCGCCATTATTGCTTTTTTTTCAATGTACACGAACAGGATAATCACCAGTATCATCTCTGCCATCCATTGATAAGATCTCCACAAGGTCACCGCGGCCACCCACCAGATTTCATGCTCTTCACTGACACGTGTCCTCGTCACCATGTGACAGTGTAGTCTAACATCATCCATTACCAGCAGCGTAGCTCTTGTCACAGGCATAATCTTAGATTCCCATGGTTACACAGAGTGCTTAAACTTATCCTCATCGACATCACGCTACCATCGTCATTATCATCACCATCAGCACTGATTGTCACTGTCAGGATCACCTTCGTCGGCATACATATAATCCCAGTTTTCACCATAATGAACATCACGATCGTCACCAATGTTGTCACATCCTTTTATCACTATTATCAATCAGACATTCACTTTTCATAATTTATCCATGTGTCTTAGAATCTCCGAACATCCCACGAAACTTGAAAAGCTTAAACTTCGTTTTTTTGTAAACATCGATTAAATCTAATTAAACAAGAGAATAAATAACTTATACATGCGAACTAAGTTAAGATTGCAAAAGGTTTAATGGTATCTTTCGGAAGAAAGATTTACAAAACTGGCAGTATGATTATATCAGCCAGGTTATTTACAAAAAAAAGAAATAGCTTCGATGGAAATTCATTACGTTGCCACCACATCCACTTTTATTTTTGGACAACACAAGAGGCAGAGTGTTTTGATAGGGAAAATGATTGTACTCTCATTTATTGTTTCGAAAATACATTTAAAATATCGTAAGTGCGTGGTCTGAGTAGAACAAGTTAAGATGTTCATATCGTAGTGCACTTGGTGATGACTGCGTTAAGATGTGATGCTCTGCAAGTGTTTGTTACGAAGTTCCTTTGATAGTAATAATGATACAAGTGAAGGGTTTGACCTTTTTTGTAAAATGCTTCGCTCTTGTGTGAAACAAATCCTTTGGGATGCTAAAATAATTTGATATTAGTGTAAGTTCACAAATGCACCACGCAGGTTTGTGCTTTATGCACTTTAGTGCCTCCCTGTTGGCAGCTCAATTAAGTAGATTGACGCTTGTCATCATTTAAAAAAATTAATGATTTGCCCCAACCAACAAGACACTGATTCATTTGAGTCTCCAAATGACCAAACGCCTTCCAAAAATATGAAGTGTAATTGAAGTTGGTTCGAGTTAAATCAAACGTCCTCCCGGAGTCCAGTCACATATCCAGCAAGATATGGGACGGAAGTTACCTCCCCCTACATGTCCAATCCCTAAGCACACCCTAGAGTATTGATACCTAACATACCCCCCCCATGTCTGTAGAGAATTCCTGAGATTCCGATCAAACATTGACCAACACAAAGGTGGGGGTACTCTGCATCTCATATCTTGCTTTATATGCGGTCATAAGTCCCCTTCACAAGTCCTTCTTCACAGGACGAACAGTGACGAAGAATGCTTCTGTCACATTTCAGTTAAATGGCTTGCAACTGAGGCTTAAGATTTATTACTTGCGAAGGACATGTGACGTAACTTAATGGACTTAAGGCCCATATTAATAAATAGACGAGCGGTAACATACGTCCTCAGGTAAGAGGCAAAGTGGTTTCCTGCGCAACTGTTAACAAGGTCACCATATGAGCGAACGCACACCGCGGGATAGACAGATTAACCTCTGTTAAACCCTGAGCGACTCTTCCAGGAAACCAGCACGGAGACAGCGGTCTCGTTAGGAGCTGACTTCGTTAAACGATTCCTCAGGGCATCAGTTGGACCAAGAGGGGGCGCTATCCTCAGCAACGGATACTCGTTTGGTTACTACGCATCGCTGGTTCACGAACGACTAAGAAATGCGAGCGTTGCATTCGCATTGCTACCAACGAAATGATTACCCCCAGACCAAAGCGTCTCTTTGCAACCGATGAGGGTTTGCTTCTGCTTGAAGCGGTGCCTTGGATTGTTCCATTGCGGCGCTATCACTATTGTGGAAAGTCCGTAAGTCACATGAGGATTTTCGCAAATTGGGCAGGTTTCTGCCTAAAAGCTGGTTCAGATACTACAGGTGAATGCAAAAGCGACACAAATTTGACGTCAAGAAAGATCTGCAGCAAATTTTTGGTCGGGGAGAAATTGTGTTCAACTTCCGCGAATTCACAGTGCGACTGATTTGATCAAACACCAAGTGTGAACGGGCCTTGATGCACAAACGCAAAATTTCGCGGGGCGTGCCGATTTCCGTTAGAATAGGCCGTTTGCGACCACTAGGTCACGTGACCTGCGGTGGGTATAAAAAATCAACAAACATCGCGTCGTCTGGGGCGGGGGGGGAGATTCGGACTGTCAGAGGGGACGAACAGTCTAGAAGTTTTCCTTGTGGAAGTGGAACTTGAACTTTTCGCACATGGCCTTGATCGTCTTGCCAAGGATGGGCGAGCCGCAGAAAAACACTTGAACTTTACCCTTCCTCTGTCCCGCAATGTCGGCAAAAAGCTGTGGAAATAGCAAGGAACACCAAAACAAAAGTGAACTGTGTCAGAATTTGGAACAAGCGTTGGGGTCGTCAGTTCATCATTAACATTTTTAAGAAACGCACTTTAACGGTTTTCATGGGCTGTCTTGATGAACCGTTTGATGAGAACTTTCCGAAATATGCAGGGGGTTCAACGGTTCACTGTTTCGGCCTCTGTAGTCCAGCTGTCTGGTCCAATTCAGTTTTTTGTCTGAATGCAGTTGGGCTTCAATCTCTGTCTGGTGTCCTTACAGGAATTCCCCAGTCGAGTCGTATACCCAATGCCAGTCAGCCAATTCTCTTTTCTAGTAAGGCAAGGGCTGATCTGTAAACAACTTTCCGGGGGTGATTTTTTTCCTTGGGTACGTGGAGCCAAGAAAATTTCGAATAGTTTTATGTGACCTTTTCTGGCCTTTCTGTGAGTTGAGGGAAAGTTCTTGATCTCTTGGGGCTTCTTAAACACTTCTGGAAGGAAGGGAAATGACATAATGAAAAAATTCCCAAACTCTGCTCTTTAAGGTTGGAGCACGATTATCAATTCCCATTTCCCCCCGTTCAGTATTACCTTATCCCAGTCGGGTCTCCCCGGCTGCGTGCGAGTCTTCAGCCCCGTTATCATGTCCTTGTTGCCCTTGCTGTGCATGATGTCCAGCGCCATCTGGAGGCCGACCCCCTTCATGTCCGTCTTGCCCAGGGCCGCCGTCATGAACATGTGCATGTCCAGGAAACGCTCGGACATGCCGGCCTGCTGCAGCTCCAGCTGGGTCAGCAGCCGGACAAACCACTCGAAGGCTTTCTGGTTACGGTTAATCCAGATGAAGTCGACCTGTCAACAGACAGCCAATACCCCAAATCGATAATAGTATTTTCAGGTAATAAAACCACGACCCGTTACAAAGAAAATCGCCCACGGATATTCAGCTCGCAAGCGCAAAGAAATTTGTAGAGAAGATGATTAAGTCTTCAGTTTAGAGGAGGTGGGAGACATTACTCTACGAAAAGCAAGGCCCGGTGGAGATACGTATACTCTGGACCCGGTCAGATTGGTTGGGAGTCGATCCAGTCTCGTGGGTGAAAGAGCAAAGTACCGCTTCACCAACCTGACTTCTTCAGCTATATACATTTCAACTGAGGCCGACAGCCTATTGGCCGCACTTCTGAGAACTTGGCTCAAGTCCCAAAAAGGGCTCCGTAGCCTGAGTCCCTCTTGAAGCGATCGAACAGGTTTATTTCTCGGCATGTCTCTAACAACCGTCATGCTGATGAAGCTTGATGGCGAGTTTTTTAAAAATGACAATATTGACGAGGTTCAATGTGACAATAAATGGGTACTTTCGAGTGGCCAGTATGTCTTTGTCCTTGAAGAGAGACACGGTATATTATTTTGTTTTGGACTTTTCGCAATGGGTGTATCTTGTCGATGATACATGAAAGCACAGTTTTGTTGTCCAGGAGCTTCGAGCTGGACCAAGAGAGGGCGCAATTTCCTAGCAACGCAAGCTCCTTAGGTAGGAGTTAGGTAGGCTGGTTCACGAACGACTATGAAATTCACGCGTTGTGGGCGCGTCGCAACCAACAAAATGAGTACTGCCGACCATATGGCTCTATTCAACCGATGAGGGGGTGCTTCTGCTCGAGGTGGAAAAGAGTCGGATTTTTTCTCTCTCCTAATTAGGTTGTAGTATAGAGCACAGTTGTATCGCCGAGTGCAGCAGTTGTTTGAAGGAAAAACCGGTCTATTATACTTACCTTTTTGATGCGCATGACGTGCTCCGGTACACTCCCGATCCATTCGTGGTGGCAGTTGGGACACGTCTGCTGGTTGGTGCGGCACCGCAGCATGATTGACTGAAGGATGGAGGCGAAGGGGGTCACGCCGATGCCTGCCCCGATGAGTACAGCGTGCTCGGCCCGGAAGATCGCCCGGGTGGCTGTGCCATACGGCCCGTTAATGAAAACCTGCAGGGTGTGGATAGTTTGGGCCAGATTCCCCAGTTACATCATCATGGTTTTAACGAAAGCAACTCACCGGTTGGTACCATTTTCGCACAAGCACGCTTTCCCAAGTTTTGGCTGGGCATATATGGCTTCAGGATGACCACAGACATTTCAGCCTACTTTTGGAAACATTCCAAATGAAGGAAAAATCCCAAACCTTTTATTCAGTTTGATGTTTTCTGGGACCGAAAATGGAACTGCACTAAGCTTAATGATAAAGAATTTTTTTAAAGAAGAGAGTGTGCCAAAAATTGAGCAGTAAGTCATAACCCATCTTACTACTCTTCTGGTGTCTGTCTTAAAATTAAGGTGGGTTCGAATCCCATCTTAGCCTGGTCTAACCTCAATCCTTTCCTCCGCCGGGTGCCTCTTCAGCTTCCTGTGTTTGCCGTTGGAATGCTTTTTTCCTGTTGAAACCTCCACGTACGTCGCAGTCTTCCCGTTCTTGTCGCTCTGCAAGCAAGAGATGTGCAAAGCAAGTTATGATGCGCAAAGCACAGGGCCCAATGCCTAAAGTGACCTTTTGGGCAGAATTCAGAGATAAGATTTAAAGTCTACAAAGACTGCTGATGGGTCGACTAGGGTTCATAACACGAGGAAAAGCATGGATCCATGGTACGTTTGTGAAGTGTCGTGACGGTAAGGTCTGTTGTGTCAGAATTTAATGAAGTGTTGATACTCGCGTGACCGTGCCCTTGAAGATTTTGTCGATATGAAATGTAGAAAGTGGCTGTGAGAGCAGAACTTGTCTTGTGTTTCAATCAACCTAATGGTAAAACTTCTGTATTATGAGCCCCGAGCTGGACCAAGAGAGGACGCAATTTTTTTGTCAGCAGCGGAGGCTCCTTTGGTCAAAATTGAACTTCGCTGGTACACGAACGAGTAGGAAATGCACACGTTACGTTCGCATAGCTATCAACAAAATGAATACTCCCGACCAACATGGCTCTTTTCAGCCGATAAGGAGGTGCTTCTGCTCAAGGCAGACAGCTGAGGCCATGCACACGCTAAGATTGGCTAAAAGTCGTAGCCCATCTACAGAGCAGGGAGGTATGGCGACTTGATACTTCATAAAGAAGGCGCGCGAACAAAGTCATATTTCACCCCCTCGAAAGTGTTTTCTGGTATCACCACATTTTACACTGATGAGGAGTGTCTTTATATGGATGCCAAGCTTTAAAACAATATCCAACATTGGACAACCAAGTTCTTGGGGGGACAGACTCCTCCCCCAAGCTGTGGGATGGTCGGAAATAACCCGAATCTTATAGGGGTAGCATTTATCTTATTAAAGTATTTATATTCAATGACTTAATTTTCAAATTGAAGTATTGGACTTCATTCATTGTCTCTCTGGATAGATTACTTAACTCCCTGAAGAGAACAACAGAAACCTTTGCAAAGATTATCGGTACTTCACTGAAAGTCAATGGAAACACACCATACATTATTTGTTAGTTACAGTGTTACTTAAAAAATACAAATTCTACTGTTTCCCAGGAATTGTGGCGGGATGTTTGATCAGCCACCTGCAATTTCATCAGTGTCTCCTGGTATTGTTTAGTCATTAATTGCTGCTGTGTTGATTGGTAAAAACAAAACTAAATTAAAAAAAAACAGTGGTGTGTTTTCATTGCTGTCAGTTTATTGTTCCCAGGGGATATATCGCCCCAAACTGACCCAACTCATGCTCTTGGTCACCGGCTGCCGGCTCATCACCTTCTCCCCGCCCGGGCGGTACCGGTAGGAATCCGAGGGTGGGCTGGGGGGCACATCCAGGCACACCGAGTCGTCCTCGCCGGCCTTCTCCGTCGACGTGCTGCCGTTGGCCCGCCGAGACCTGTTGCGGATGGACTGCTGGCGGTTGCGCTTGTGCCGCTCTTCGAAGAAGCTGTACAGCTTGTTCGTCCAGTTGCCGGCCGATCGGATGTGTAGCGATAAGGTGTCTGCGCGCGAAGAAAAATTGTGAGGTAGTGTTTTAGTTAGGCTGTAGGTGTTTGTGAAGTCTGGGATGGGCAGAAGCAAAAGAGACGGTGTCATGATTTTTTGTCACCCACTTGGTCACACCGGTGGTGTGGGGCTATCATTCCCTTCTTCCTGAGGGGGCCCGGGTTCAAATCCAATCTGGTGCATTGTTATAAAACCCTCAATCTTCCACATTATTGTCTTCTTTTCTTACACTAATTTCTTGATAATTCTTCAAACTTACGCCTCTAAGTCCTTGTCTCGTAAGTCAGCCTATAAAAGCTGCCACGGGCACTTGCAAAAATTTAATGTGATTAAACCTGACAGTGCAGCTAAGCTGAAAAATGTTGCTTAACTCGCTAGCAACAATCATCTGAGAGCAAAATGTTTTAGTTTTTTTTATTTTATTATTATTTATTATTATTATTATTACTATTATTTTGCTTATTAAGCTATTTATGTCTCCGAGCTAAGTAAGCTTTTGTAGATTCACAATACCTACCGGGCTGTTCTGGAGCGCTGCTGATTGTAAACGGGTGCCACTCGTGCTTAGCAATTTCGGGAATGTTCAGAAACAAGTAGTCTCCGGGCGAGTAGTCGAAATGAGGCGGCCTCGTTATCATGAGATGCGTGACCTGCGAGAGCAGAGGGGAAAAAGCTGACTACATTATTGGAACGGTTGGTGGCAGCAGACACATTATGATACTGCCCATCTATGTGCTAGTCCGATAACAACCAGTCGTGGCATGTGCTGCACAACATGAACGTCCGGGTTAGACCAGGTCAGACATAGTCATCATAAAAATTATCATAGATTCATTGGTGGCGGGACTTTTTGAGATGCATACATATTTATAGACGAACTTCTGATCTTATTTCCCGAACCGGAATTTCAACATGAAAATCTGTTAGTTTCCTAAAAGGTCACTCTCTTTAATTTGTGCATTATTTACGCAGTTCTTTAAAATGAACAAATTCTGTAGCAATAGAAATGAACATCTGCTACAGCAACCGTAGTGTATGCTCACAGAAGATGAAGACCCCAAGTTTTTTCGGCTCCTTGTCGTCTTCCTCAGTGTCTTGTCATTAGTCGATCAGTTACCATTACGAATGAAAAAGGTGCATTCAAGGTAAATATTCACCGGGACACAATTGGTTTCAGACGGCAGGGTTCTCCTTGCCTTCTGCGTGTCTTGCTGATGGCCTCACGATCAGCGGTTCAACCAAATCATTTACATCAGTATAAATGACTGGTGAGAGCAAATTGGGCAATAAGTCAATGTCCAGTTAGGCCCTGACTGGTGGATTCATAGAGAAAGGAAGCTATGGTCGATTTACGCTTAAATGACCAGTGGAGAACGTCCAGTTGGTTGTGGCGGTCAACAGCGAACGAATTAGTTATTTTCAAGCGAAGCAGCCCCATGTGAACTGTTTTGCAGATTCATTGGCGTGTGATAAAGACCGCGATATATAGGATTACTTGTTTTAATCGATTTTGATTTTTCTTTCATACAGAAAATCCCTATTAGTTTCCCAACACCGTGTATTGTACTACTCTGGGGGTCAATGAAAACTGTCCCCCAATACAGTATTTTGAGTGAACTTCACCAACAATCACAATATGTGACATTCCGATCACTGGTTGTATGTTTTGAAAGTATGCCCTGGTAGGCTATTTCATTCTTCAATCCTGGTTGGATAATTTCGTATGAATGGAAACAAAATTGTCAAGGTTTTATTTTCGGATACTTTACAGCCAACCGACCCTGCCAAATCCGATGAATAGAAAGACAGCCTGAACGTGAAATGTTTCTTCTGTGCCCAGAAGTGTGGCACTGGTCCTTCCCAAAGTCAGCTCAATATCTCAATAGCCAGATGGATGGCACACAGTACCATACTGCTACCAGAATAAATCAACAGAAATGCACAGATGCATATCGTATTTGTGGTTTGACTTTACTGGAGACAAGAGTCTAGTGGTCCACATTTCGGCCTTTTTATGCCCCGTTGGAGTGCCAGCTATGCTGGTTTCCCTGAGGGGAAGCGTCGTGAGAAGATTCTGCGTCTTAATTCGATGACTGCCACAATGCTGATTTAGCCTATTTTTCCCCTTCAGATTGAGAGGGACGGACGACAAATTTCTTGTCCCAATGGAATACTTTCCGCGCGCAAAGTTTCTTTTGTTCTTTTTAACGTATTACCTTAAAGTATTTTTTTTCATTTACAAAGTCGGCCCAACCCAAAAGAAAGAACACCTATCAACTACAGTTACTTTGACATGCCTGAAATGGACATGACTAGTTCTCTTAAAATAAAATAAGCACTACTGAGCTTATCAAATCAAATTTTTAAGAATGACAAATAATTTGTAAGTTTTTTCGATGGAGCGAATCAGTCGCAAGGCCCTTGCTGAATCATTTCTCGCAAAAACTGTTGACAACGTCAAGCAGAATGCAAGCAGAATGTTTGAAGATTGGTATTTCAATGTCCTCAGCACCAAAAGATATATATACGTTACATTACTGGAGTGGTTTGTTTCCGTCGGAATTGCTGAATGATTATAGGAACTATACTAAACACATTACTTTGTTTAATGAACTCATGAGACCGAGGATATTTTAAGTTTCAGAGCGTCAAGCCCTTTAATTCCATGGTGCCAATTCGCGTTATTTACATTTCAGTTTTATTTTCCTTTATTTTGTGATTTTTTTGTATTTGTGTATATTTATGGCACCAGGCAATATGAAATCAGTTTACTTGGAAGAATACTTCAGGTTTGTGCCGTAAGTTACAGTCAAAAACAGCTACGGTCATAATTCAATGATTAAAAAGGCCCCAGGAAGAAAAGTACCCGATTCCGACAGCACAAATTTGATAACAAACCCCTGGGTGGTCGACAATTGGGGACAGTAAGGGAAACTCAGACCCCCGAGCACTAACCTTTAAAGACCACTAATTCGGTCCACGGTGTGCCGGGATGGGCGGTCAATTGACGGGGGGATTACAGGGCGAAGACCGGTAGGCCTGTAAAGTATGTTTCGAGAATAGTTTTAAGATCTCCCTGTGCATAAGTTACCGTAACTTGCCCACTTTACCCGATAGCTTTGGCCGTTCATCTCTCAAAGCATTTGGCATTTCGCGTCCCAGGAGAATTTCACGACTTCGAGACAACATCTCTTCACTTTCTACATGTAAGTTTTCAGATTTTGTTTTTCACGATATCTATACCGTGTTACCTCTTACGGCTTACTGTAGGAGCAATTTTAAGTCATAATAAAATCATCTTTTTAATGTTCACAGGTCAATTGGTTCTGTACTTTTTGTTTACTTCGAAATTATTCCAATTCAAACATTGGAATGCGGTTAGGTATGAAATCCTGTTAAAACCGAGTCCACGTTCTCGTCTAACTAGCATGTGTAAGAAGTAAGAATGTGTAAGAAGTTAAAATAGGGATTGTCAGAAATAAAACATCATACAATAACAAATCATTGACTTGCTACAGAGGCCGATTTAGAGGGGGGCTTTGGAGGGTTCAGCTGCACACTAAATTGAACTACCAGAGAAATGACGGTAAATTAGTAGGCCTACCCCCAAAAAAGGATAAAAACAATCCTGGACGAGGATTGCGACGTCCATCTATCCATCTATAGTTAAACAATTACATCGATTTCCGGTGGATTCCCTTAGACGGACATCCCTTCAGTACACCCATCACCACCACCCCGTTTCCTGCCAGCTTGATCCGTCCCCGCGATAAGAGGCTCGCGCTTGGATGAACAGATTTGGTTTCAGAATGACGTTATTCGAAACTGCATTGCCCACGCTTGCTGCATGTAGTTTACAAGTCAAACTGTATTCGAAGTTGTTGGAAGAAATTTCCCGGAGAGGATACGTTTCACCCGTCTATGACGTCACAGCAGGGATTGGAGTAATCGGCGCGTTTACCTGACGATAATGTATAGGTCCTAGGTCTCAACCTTCGTCATGAATCACCGTTGATTATTTTGTGCTCGTTGACGTGAGTGACGTCATGCAGCTCCATAGTTTGTGATTAATTGTTGCATTAAGCCTCGAGCTGACGCCGCAGTGTAATTAACCTAAGACCGTGCATGTCTTGAAGGAATTCACTGTATATGATGCGTGTGCTATGTGCATATTACATCGATGAATGAGGCATTTTAATTCGGTTTTGGAGTTTGGGAAATTTTAATGTTTGTGACTTGTGACATAATTTTATTCAAAAAGTTAAGGTGAAAACTTTAAACGGCACCTTGTTTTTAAATTTCAGTATAAATACCTAAATTTGTGGGGTGTTTTGTTGTCAGTCAGCTAAAAATTAGTATTTAGGAATATTCTGGGACTTATGATGGCCAAAACGCTCCTACCAAGACATGAAGAATTCAAAACTCAGTATCAACGTAGCGGGCGTTAATCCCCCCCACACACACACACACCTTTCCCTATCCCCCAAATCCCAGCACAGATTTACTCCACTGGTCAACGCGTACAGAAGTCAACGTTTACGGAAGTAAATAGTAAACATAAATCATTTCTCGAGTGGTCAGGGGTTTTCGCAACACGCATAAACACTGCAAGACAGCAAAATTAGCTGATGACAGCGTTGAGGTTTCGTAATACGCATACGTGGATTGGTTTGTGGATCTCGCCCTCGCGACTGAGCGACTGGTCAGCCTGGAATCGTCAGCGGAATGATGTTATTGATCTTGTCATCACGCTGTCCGAGGTCAACACGAACTGGTCAGTCAAGCTAACGAAGTCTACGAGATAGCTCCCGACGGTCTTGCCGGAGGAGCAAACACAACACAGCGGAAGAAGGGTGAGAGAACTATGAGCATCGTTTTTTATCTCTCTCTCTCTCTTACCCCAGAGGGCATCAGCTCGGCTTTCTCCACGTACATCTTGCCGAACTGGGCCTGCCTCACCAGCCGCAGCTGGCTGATCCGCTCCAGAATGAAGATGATGCCGGGTATGATGAACCAGTACCAGAACCTTGGGCCGTGCATCAGGAGCAAGACCCAGAAGAAGATGTACATGAGGTGTGTCCAGTAAAACACCTGCAGCCAAGAGACCAAATTAATGACATCAAGTTCATCTTTTGATGGTCAGCATTCAATGCAGGCGTTTCACAATAGTGCGCCTCCAAGAGTTTGCAACGCGTTGGCCAATCACAATGCCCGAAATCTGTTGACTCAATGCACACTAGGAAGGGGTCGACAGATTTCGCGCGTTGTGATTGGTCAATACTTTGCAAACTCTTGGAGGCGCACTATTGTGAATCGCCCGTATTTACACGTGCGCGGAAACGCACGCGCCTTCGAAGTCTCTCACCATTAGGCTAGGTTACATGAAACTGCCAATAGAAATACACAAACTAGACAATGCACGCTCCTCCAGGGACACGGTACGCTTCCTGAAATGCTTTTGCCCGTCATGTTACGTCACGTGAAAAAAAAAAACTCAGGAACGTCCATCCGATTCGTAAGTGACTTCGTCAAAGGGTGGATGCGCCACGATTTGCAGGCTCCCATTGGACGATTGCTGAAGTTGAGTGTTAACTTCTGGTTCCATGGTTCCATGCAACGGTGAGAAATGCGTGTAACTCTATGTGCAGTACATGTGCAGTGGGCGTGGTTTAAACTGAAGTGACGTCACACTTACGAACCGGATAGAGACCATAAGTAGAACTAGAGGTGACATAACGCAGGAACAACTTGGAACCTCGTGGACGCCTTTGCGTACGCGTGATCTCTTAAGCGCGTGCGCGTTACATGGCAGCGTAATAGAACATCATGTCGCCCCGTTCTTGGTCAAACTTGGCGTATTGTACAAGAATGGGCCTGACACCTTTATTTTTACCATGATATTTCTGGGAACGTTGCAAAGGATTGTAGCACAACGCCCTCTTTCGGCAGGAAATTACCTTGAACTTTGAACCCCGTTAATGCATCTCTCAATTGTCTGAATCGAAATGACTTTTTAATCAATATCGAGGAAGCGTACCCGAATAGCTTGTTTAGGTCAGATCAAAGGCACACCTGGTTGGCACTGAAGGTCGGAAATCGCCTCCGATAACAGCGCGGGATCTTACGGATCATCGCTGGCAAAAACCAGACGTCGATTGAGAAGGGGGGTGGTCTTCATTTCCTGCCGCAGTTCCCCCGTCATAATTCGTCTTTGTCAGGCCATTTAGACGAGGACAATGGACCTAACGAGGGGCGTCTAGATAGTGACTCTGACATAAACCCAACGCAAGGCACAAAGCCACAGTGCAACCAGATTTCACTCATTGGCCCAGATTGGTCTAAATTTTCAAATTGATCACGTGACACAGATTCACACTAGAACATATGTGGTAATTTTCTGAAATGAATTGTGTTTTACAAATCCGTAAATGAATCTTCGAATCGTCTCAGAACTATGCATCAGAAACATATGTGACAAATTCTTGACGTTTTACGTGCAAGCAATTCTTTAGCATATGCCTCACGTGCCTGTATCATGAGAGAATTCAACACAAAATGCAATGTTTATTTTTACATAATGAATCTGAAGGGCGCTGCAAATTATTTATTCTTTTCAAGACCTACACAATTTCCTTCACTTTCATAATTACATCGTATGATGTATCACGCATATCGCGCGTCATACATGTTATGAGCACATGGTATAAATTCACCGATGAGTATTCACTGAAAAATTAATTATTGTGTAGTCACGATCGCTTGCTTAGGCTTGATAATGTTTGCCATACGGTAACCCCAACAAATGCCGTCATTTAGTATTTTGCTGCTACGAAATATTAACGCAGAGCGGACAATAGTTTGCTCTACAGCGGCTGAGAATGCGTCTTTGCCATATGAGACACCTTCTTAGATGATTTCGACGCTGGTAAAGCAAGGCTTCATGTGTTCACAGGGGTCTCGGGGAAAACATTCAATTTGGCCAGTGTTGATCAAGCCGAACGGCTTAATCAACACCCAGGTCACAAGGGGGTGATTCCCCAGGACTTGTTCATGGCTAACTGCTATCAGCTCAAGCACGAATCGGCGAGCCACGAGAGGCCCTCGCTAATAATGCAGTCTTGTGAGAATTGGAATATTCACAGCAAGCGCGAGAGAGGGAAAATGCCACGCACTAAAGATGCGTAGGACGACCTTGGGACGACCGACTCCTTGGTTTGGTTGGATGTAATTGCCGATGCTAGATAATTTTGAGAACAAACACTTTGCAGATTCAATTTTTGTCTATATGGAATTATATATAGGAATATAGGAATAAAACATGGAATTTCTAGTCTCTGACTCTAGTTTAATCACGGCTATCCAATATTTATCCACAAGATAAAGTTTTTGCTCATTTGTTCGTGCTCAAATCTTAAGAATCTCGAACAAATTCCGTCAAGATTTACTTAAGAATTAAGCTGCTTCGTTAAATCAGCACCGTGCACTATATATTTTGAAGTAATCATCCAAAATACTCTAAGGAAAGCCTTCTTCAACTGATATTGGTGACTACAACACGAAAAAAACACCTTCACCGTCAAATAAAAGACTGGAAAAGTGGGTGCCGTGGTAAAGTACGTTCCTGGGGGACGCAAACGATATGGATAGAACTGCCTAAAGTACATTAGCCCTGCTCGACCAATCATTCCCCTGGAATGCGCAGTCACTGTCCACTCACCTGAAAGTTACCGGACCTCCGGACAAAGGGTAAGGAGCAGATGACCATGACGACAAGAATGATGTCCAGCAGCCAGCCAGTCAAAAAGGCGCTGTGCTTGACCAGTCCCAGAGGGGTCAGGTGGGGTTGAGTGAAGAGTACCTCCCAGGCGGTGTTGTTTGGGAGAGGACCCGATGGGCTGGTGATGATTACTGGTTCGACAACAGGTACAAAACTAATCAAATTTCAGACCCTAGTCCCTTTACTGAAGATAGTTTCAAATCGGAGTCACTTCGTTCGTGGTGAATTTTTACAGAATTAAAAAAAAAATTAACAGTGACAAGTTTTGTTCCTCAGTAATCATTACTGAAATTTAGCACCATTTTTCTACAGAGACTGAAGAAATGCTAAGGTTAAATATTTTTATAAAACTACATCCTATAATTGACAAATAGTTTTACCGTAATCTCTGCTTGAGCCTGAGGTCCCACTGAGGTCATAATTCCAGAAAATTCCAACTAATTCCTTAAGTGGGTGTACTTATATGCGCCTGTCGACCGGTGTAATATCCCGTTATAATTTAGGATCCAGCAGGGGAACGAGTTTGTACATTGCACCCAAAGGGCACCAGCCGACAGATATTTTGTAGACACGAATCGTGAGAAAGTCAGACGAGAATTGGCACCACCCAGATACTTTGGGTTGATCTTTTTTCTGCGATGTTTTACGCCATTCGAAACACGCACACTGCCGTAAATGAATGCGTGGGAAGAACAAAGGTCACACTTGGTTAGAGTTTAACCTTTAGTGGAATGGGTGCCACAGGGTGTATCTTGACGACAATAATGTTGCCTTTAATTCTCTACAATTATTCAGGGTTTTACGTGGGCTGCTTTCAGGCACAAACCACTGAGAAATGGGGTCATTAGAGCAACTCCATGGAGGGGGGGGAGTTTGTGGAGTTTGCTCGCGCAGCTTAGTATTGGAAACTGAGAAGTTGGAGATTGAGAATTCAAGACTGGATGTGAAGCAAGTGATGCAAAGGCATTTCTTTGAACGCGTTCTCAAAGACTGGTTGCGTTCAGTACATTTCAAACTTTTTGGCATTGAAATGATTTCGTCTGCATTCCCAGAGGTAGGACTTATTAACCCGAACCCTCCTCAATCCTTCACCTGTTGGAGGACTGAGGGGTGTTAGGGTTAAAAAAAACATCTTGGGTTTGAGTGTTCTTAGGGATGGAAAGCGCAAATTCCAGTGTTGTATGACGCCCAACTCTAATCAATGCCCAAGGTAAAACTCGATAGTGGTCCGTGGTAAAATGTCAAGATGTGTCCACCTGACTGAACGTTCACTGGTAGTTCAATATCGGTACTTCTTTAAGAAACGTGCACGTTTGAATAATGAAGAGGAGTAACCAACGGATGGGATGAATGAAGGAAAACTCATTTTGCCCTCTTCCAAAATGGCGCCTTCCAAACTGTGTGATCTCACCTGCATTCCCCACGTGAGCGAGAGAGTGGACGAGGCTGAGCGCCGCGATGATCAGCCCCACCGTCTTGTGGAAGATGATGTGCTGGTCAATGGGCAGGAAGCGGGCCAGGCGGGTGGAGCGGACGTATGTCAACGTCTGCCGCAACATCAGGACCAGGATCAGGGAACCGTTGAGATTCAGACACTGACCACAGCCGCGGGCTGGTCGGGAACAGAGAAAAAAGAGATAATTAGTCCTTTAAAAGGAGTCTGCTTCTTCGTTGAGGCAGGATTGCCTTTAAACTGTGCCTGTCAACCTGAACTTTCTCACAATTTGTCACTGTCTGCAGTGTCTTTTGAAGCGCCGTCTAAGTGACAAGGACGCCTTTCTTGTGAAGAGAGAAGGGACTCCTAAAATACCCTGTCGCTCTGTTGAGTCGCGGACCAGACACATTTTATTCGTTCACTGGGCTAAACAAGGTACACGTGTCGCGACAGGGTACACTGCATCTTTTTTTAATTTGTGGCGATTTCTCCGTTTTTGTTAAATTAGAGCGGCCTCCTACAAGTACAACACCCTCCAAAACTTCAAACATGGAAGCCGCCCTTTCCTTAGGAGACTTTCAAACCCTGCAGGTGGAGTCTGTTAAAGGTATAAAAAAAACAGAAACAATAACAAGAAAGACCCCACCACACCCCCGGCCCGGCCAGGAACAGACACCTACCGATGACGATGCACCAGTTGGCCCCGTTGGAGGCAAACCTGTGCGCCGCTTCCGTGAATAGAGCGGCGTTGAGCAGGCAGTAGGCTATAACGAAGATGACTTTGCGCAGGTTGTTGTTGATGTAGCGGAGGGTCAGGTAGCGGGGCATACGCATGCGCGTCTTGGGCTGGTCCTCGGGTGGTTTCAACCAGCCAGCAGCACTGTAATTCACGAAGAACAATACAGTCAGTACTGACTAATTTGGCGACCAGAATCAGAGGTCATTACTGCTATGGTACCACGCTTGTGAACAAGCGGCGTGAGCGCAATATATTGCTCTTCGACCAATAGGGTGTTGTGGCTTATATTTGAACGTATACGTCAAGTTTAAACATGCGCATATGAGTATGTATCATCGTAGTAATGGCGTTCATATGGAGTTGGACAGTCAAAGAGGGCTCCAATATTTGATTAGAAGCCCCCTCTCAATTTCAAAGCTCTAGTTTTGCAAAACAAGACTGCTCATCACAAAGAGTCAGTCATAAGTCATGAAGTTCTTATAAACCAAATTAAAGACACATTTCTACCCGATTGTCATGTTCTCCATCACGTCCGGGTACTTTTCCAGCTCTCTTCGGAGCTCATCGAAGGAGATGGCACCGCTGCCATCTTCATCGGCGGCTTCGAACAAGGCATCTGTCAGCTCATCCAAGACGCTGGAACTCAGCTGTAAGGCACTTTCTTCCATGCAAGACTCTAGGACGGTCCGTAACTCCTCGTGATCGATCTGACCGCTGCCTACAGGCCAAAGAACAGGCACAGCCCAGCACAATAAACTTTATCTCGGCGCAGACGTACACAATCTGTATTCTGTAATTACCTTTTTGGGAACGTTGATTTGTAAGGCTGGAGATTTTTCGTAATGTCTCGTTTTTCCAAACAAGCAGAAACGATGATGAAACATTACATGACAAACAAGTACATTTTTTTACAATAGTATTTTGGTGCATTTACCTCTGTACACTTTTTTGATGGGGAGGTTATTCTCGTATAACTTTGGTTACTTTTTATTATTTTCCCCATTTTTCACATTTTTGTCGCAGAGCAGAGGGGGATTTCGACCCCCGCTCTCCTGAATCCGCACCTGCACCTGCCCTAGGACATCTGACATAATATTGAGGCGGGATTATCTGATAGGTAGAGTAAGTTCTGTGCCTATGGACTACATATACTGTAAATCAAGGGACTGCGAAAAAGCCATGAAATGTAAACATACAAAAATTATGAATTGCCGATTCAGAGAAAATCTTCAAACTGGCTCGTACATAGTAAGCTTAGAATCAACGCGACATGCGGAGCTCCGGGGCGCTTATCAAGCACTATGAAATGGTGTTTAATTAAAGCCGAGTAGGGCCCACCAAATACTGATACCCGGGGCCCCTCACAGAGCACTTTATCTGACCCTGCAAAGCATCTTCCTGGACAACTCCATGGAGTGTGACCTCTAGAAACCCGTGAGGCACTGCATGGAAATCTCCAAGATGACCCGGTATCATCAGTTCCCCCTCCTCCCGCCATGTGGCCAGGTACGACTACATGAAAGATCACGTGAGGGCCTTTGTCGACAAAGACATCGAGTTCGTGTCGCAAACTCCTTCCGCGCAAATCATCGCCTCAAAAAGGGATTAATTGATTGAATAAAAAGCCTGGAAGGCAATTTTCACGCTCGACCATACGGTATTTGTATTGTCAAATAATGAGTATTGTCTCCAGTATAGCTTGTACGAAACGTGTGGTTCAACATAAACACGAGGGTATGCAAAACCACAACGTGTAAGGTAATTCGGCAATGGATATAAGCTACTCAGACAATATCCATCTCTTGCTAAACACAGCTGAACACACAGAGCTTAATGAATTTCACGAAACTAAGTAGAAAATGGCGCCGAAAAGACGCAGTGAGTAAACATCATCCGGTATAGGTACTCATCATTAAGCAGTATATTTTTCGCTCGCCTGTCTCTACTTCAGAAATTTTGGGAATGTGCCACTTTTTCGTTGAGCTAGTTCTCAATTCATTTTTGCCGACAAAGCCAATTAATTTGGGATTTAAATATAATTTTATTGAGCGGTATTCAATAATAATGGCTCAAATATTTGTGGAAAAATTCCAACAGATGTCGAATCGCTATGGAGCACTTGTGTTTCCATTTGAACATTTTGTATGATAAAATTGCTATTGGGGAAGAGAATAGCGAAAAAACATGTAAATCTCATGAGTATCGAGATGGAAAGGAAATGAAGAGCATGACGGGTAACGTGAAAGGTGAGGGCAAGGTTGAACTTTGACCCACCATCGACATCATACACGTTGAACAGGAAGCGGAGCTTCTCCGCCGGTTCACCGTGTGTAAGCATGCGCAGCCCGTCCATTAACTCGTCTAGGCTAATCGTACCGCTGTTGTCTGCATCGAAGAGCGCGAAAAAGCGCTTGGCGAAAAATTCCTGTCAAGAAAAAAGCGACCATGTTAATGGAGAGAAACTAATAGAGATACCACTTATGAGTTAAGAGTTTTATAATTTCTGACCCTGTTCTGCTGACAAAAAGGAAGGATTCGGAATAAGCTGCTTAATATTAAATTGCTTATTCTTTAGAAAGCGAAATGCCACCTAACACTGAAAACAATTGTGCTTCGCTGATGTACCATCTTTGGAGAAGGCTTTGTCCAAAAGTGTTAGCAAAGGAAAAGTTTAATCAGGAAGTTGGACATGAATGAGAGAAACATTTGCACTTGAGAAGAGCTTAACTTTACCGTATGCCAACTTCCGATCAAGGATGCTGTGGAAATACCTTTTGCTCTGTGCAAATTCTTGTATTGGGAATGGCAGAATATTCAAATTGGCTAAATAGAATAAACCACTTGCGAGTTAAATTTAAATAAAATCTGGTACCCTGTGTTATCTGATTGCATAGAAACGTAACAATTTGAAATCCCCAGACTAAAGACACTGTTGCTATACCTCGCGATTCGGGGCAAGCTTTTGCATAGCGACCACCATCTCTGGAATGGACTCAATCAATCAATCAATCAATCAATCACACACACATTTATTTCCTCCCGTGGCAGAAATAATAATAATAAGACAAGTCTAAAAGACATGTATATGCCAGAAGAGGTGGCAACACCTTAAAAGCAAAGCTTGTGTTAGGCATGCCCTTAAACAAAACATACATACATATTAATATAAGAAACAACAAATCATTGTAGCTCTAAGCAATTATAGAGTAATTGTTGAAGATGGACTATGAAAAGAAAAGGATAAGTTAATTTTCATGGCTACGAATATGATCAGAAGTAGTCAGTTTGGCAATGAAAATTATATTGCTTTACATGAGAAAGATCTTTAGTTGCCGCTTAAAGATGGTATATGATCTTGAAAATCTTAGTGAGGATGGTAGAGTATTCCAAAGTTTGGGACCAGCGTATTTAATGTTAAATTGATAGGCAGAAGTTCTGTGTTGCGGTATCTGAAAATGAAGTTTGGTTGACGAACGAGTGTTGTATTTATGCAAGCCAAGGTTAAATACAAACATGTTTGGATCTGTTACGGACATCAAATTATTTTTAAACTTGTACATAAATAACGCTTGTTGATATTTGTTTAAGTTTGTAATACTTAAATATTTGAGCTCACGTAGCAGGGGTTGCCTGTGGGCCCTACAAGGCGAATTTGTGATAATTCGAACGGCTTTTTTCTGCAGATTTATTAGTTTAGATAGATTTGTAGGGAACTGGTTCCTTTGTGCCGTTCTTATCCATTGAGAACAGTGCAAGGCGTCTCTTATGTAACTAAGGAAAAGCTTGCCTGAATCACGAAGTATAGCAACAGTGGCTTTAGTATGCAGAATTCCAATTGTTATGTTCACGTGAATTTAAAGAACTCAGTGTACCAGATTTTATTCAAATTTAACTCGCAAAAGGCTTATTGTCTACACTCAGTCGCTCCCGATTGTGCCTTTCAGTAACTGAATTAATTGACCCCAAAGGAATCATAAATAGCTAAATTTGATGTTTGAGCCCTTCAAAAAACAACACAAATAATACCAACGGCTAACTTCGAAAATCAATCAACGAAAGGCTTATAGGAGCACCATGTGGTATGATAATTGAACCTAATCGGTACGGGGGAGAGAGCTAGAAACCCTCGTAATTTGGTTTGTAAGTCACACCGGGAATGAAAGCTTGACAATTACGGTGTGTCTGTTTCCTGGCTCGTGGCGATCAGCGCGACGCAGATCGAGTCGAGCGAGTCGTTACCGAAACGACTTCCCCGGGCGTTAGTACTCGTCCTCCCCGGGTGGCACCATCAGCGCGCTCGGCGGTCTCCGGACGATACTCTTGGCAAAAGAACAACCTTGAGGCCGCATGGGCAATATTATGAAAACGGCACTCGGGGCCGTTACGGGTGATCTTGTAAAAGGGCCTTAAAAAATCGCCGTAGAGGAAAGCATGTGGTGTGTTCTAAAAAGACAGGCATTAACTGTTCAGGGGCGCTGTAAAGCTAACATCCAATACAGAGTAAAGCCGATAAAAATGAGTAATTAATCCCCCAAGTAAGAAATCCGCCAATCCTTTCGAAGAAAATGCTCCAGTCAAAATGATACTAGTTAAACTCACAAGGGTGTGTAATACAACACTCCAAAGATATAAATAAATGTTGTAAAAAACAGAAATTACCACGCGTGATCATACCGCATTTTTACGCGAAACTTAATCATGTCCATTTTTGTTTAACACCTTTTGAAGACTTTGATACCCTCCCTGTTGCTTTGCTTTGAAAGATATCTAATTTTCTACTTGATTCTTTGCTCTCTTTTCTTTAACATGATTTTTTACGATTCCCCTGGCAGAAAATACACATTTTGAAGACAACAAAAATCGATAAGTTTAAGACTGAGCTCCCCTTCCTTCCCGCTTTGTCTCATGACATTCTAAACTTCCCGGTGTCTCTCCTTTATCCGTCTCGAGCAGAAGCACCCCCTCGTCGGGTGAAAACAGCCATGTTTGTTGGGAGTGTTGACTTTTATTGGAGGCGATACGACCGTAACGCGTGCATTTCATAGTTTTTGGTGAACCAGCGAAGTTCAGTTCCGACCAAAGGAGCCTCCGTTGCTAGAAAATTGCGCCCTCTCTTGGTCCAGCTCGAGGCTTATTGCTCCACAAACCTCACCTTTTTGACTTTGAGGGCAGATTTGAACTCTTGCCAGTCGATGAGCCGGTCGTTACCAGCAATGGCAGCGAATTGTCTCTGCGCCCACTCTAACCACTTGGCGTCATCCTCCACCGTCAAGCGGAACTCCTCCCCCTTCTCCATGGAAACCACGCGCCCTGTCCTCTTTGGACACTCCGTAAGTTATCTAATCGGCAAAACGAAACAATAAAGTTAGTAGAGTTCATTAGTCTTCGGTGTTATTTCCGGTGCACAAGCTTGATATTTACGAATTCGTGATAACGATTTAGCTTTTCCGATAGTTTGATGAATTGCACTGGAAGTAAAGGCGTCGGTTGAAGCACTTTAGTGCGATTGAGAGCAGCTGCAAAACAAGTCAACACGACAACCTCGCGTTTATTTCCCGAATGGAAACAATTATAGTTTGTCACAAGTCGTCCCAAATCCATGCAAGTCAGTCAGAAGTACGGAAGCGAATTTAGGACATGACTGAAAAATACCTTTGGCTGACTAATTCTCCCAGGCGGATTACTTTTTCGTCCAGATGGAATAACATTCTGCCCTGGCGGATTACTAATCCGACCAGCCGGAATAGTATAAATCCACTCGGGTGAAATAGTAGGTCAAACCTTTTTAGTCATGTTCTTACTATGCTTCCGTAGAGAAGTCATCCAAAACTCTTTGAGCGAAGAAGCAAGTTATTCAAATAAATCGCGACAAAGTTCTTTTAGTCATTGTCGACTGTGCTGCTGATTTATCTTGCATCCACACAACGGACTCTACTACAGGCCAAAAAAGTGGAACATTGGTAGATCTTTTAGCCTTCAGCGTGACATTAGCAACTAGAAAATTATGATTATATTATTGAACTTCAAATGTTGCCTTCTGCACTTCACATCAGAAAAAAAGCATTCTAAAAATATGATATTTAGCAACTTCCCACCATAAATCCTAATATTTAAATGCATAATTGTTCTGACAATGCCGGCTAACTAGCATATTCATTCTTCATGTAGCTACACAACATCTGGTCAATATGTGACCTGAAACAACTAGTCAATCCAGCACGCATATTAAGGGGTCATTTGTGATAGTGAATACCTACAGCGCCTCATAATGGCGTCGCATGTGCTCTCTCTATATTGATGGCAATAAAAACACCAGCTGCTTCCAAATCGAACGTTAATGTGTTTTTGTTGTCTGCTTCACGTTGACAATCGGCACAATAAAAACCGGATACAAAATTTTCCACTTAACCTTAAAAAGCTACTTGCGAAACGCAGCAGGCCTAAACAGCGAGAGACGATTTTTTTCAATGAAATCTATGCGGTGTATGCCTGTTGCTAGTGATGGACTCATGATAAACAATTTCATCAAGTCTTTTTTGGTCAATACTGAAAAAATGTTTTCAGGCTAATAGAGAAAAGGGATAGGCCTACAAATACATAAATCCAGCCAGAAATGCGACAAGTTTTGTGAATTTTCAGCTATGTTCCTAAAGCAACGTTGATCAAAATATCTATACATGAACTTCTGAAACGCAGGAAAAATTGTACCCATGGCAACCACATTTGAGTTAATTTTATACATTTTTCAATTGACTTAACATGAGCTCACTAGCACGTATGTAAAAACATAGGACTGAAGACTATTAGGGCAAACAAAGCCTGACATTTTAAACTTCTGTTTTGTACAGTGTTAATTCATATGCTCCTAGTTCCAAGACTAATACAGAGAGAACGACCGATACGCTTTCGAAATGCTTAGTTAGTCAACAGCAACTCTGATGTTTGCGGCCTTCTCCAGTACCGCCAAGAAGCTAGGGTGAAAACCAGAATCATCCTCTCTACACATGGTTTCTGTTAAACCCAGATTTACCAGAAATAGATGGGGCAAATCAGCGCCTAGCAAAGTGCAAGGGTTCCTCCAGAACTGACAGACAAACGAAAGCTTTTAAGCCGCCACCAGAATGAGTTGAAGTTCATTTCGTATGGGAAAGCCAAAAACCAAAGTCTGCCTTTTTTTCTTGAGTCACTCGCTTCAAATCAGACTTTGATAGATTGTATGTTCCATTCAGCGCGACTCAACGTCGCCAACACGACAAAATGTCCTTCATTTTAATTGGTAGTGACATCAGTGATAGCCATTATCGTCATCACTACATTCTTGGAGCACTGAGTGCTGTTTTTCCAATGCATTTCTGTGAGTTAAATGCACCTAGTCAACTCAGTAAAACGATACGAGAAGGCGAAGTAAGACTGATCCGCCATTTCACGGTGACATATGTTTTCACCACACTGGTAACGATTCACCGTGCCAGATGCTGAGATAGCACGCCTAATGACGCTGAAATGTGTGGTAGGCTGGCTGACCATATGGCGCGTGCAAATGATACGGGGTCCTCTGGGGTGAGATGGTGTCTACCATTATTCACCTGGACGCAGCGGGGTGGCAAGCTTGCACCTCGGCCAGCAACCATGGAAGGACTTCCGGCGTTATGACTTTGACGCGTCGTCACTTCGTTTCCCCGGGGGGACATTTTTCTCGGGGGGAGCATAATCTGTCAGACAACCCAGCTAGACTCTGCGAATTAGTCACACAGGGTTGTGACACGAAACCAACGCGCAGACTGATTAAGTTTACTTATATTGGGTCCCTGTTTACGCACACGGGTGTTGACCAAAATATAATATTTGCCTATTAATACCGCACTGACAGCATAAAACCGATCCAGCGATGACGCAAAGCGTAAACCAGGGTATCACCAGGTGGGTTTATATACACACCATGTACCCTTAGAGGCAATCACAGTTATAACTGTATACAACCGCTCGCTCGATGAAAGCCGATATGGCGTGAATGGACACACGTTTGGGTCATAGTAAAGAACACCGACTTTGTGCTAAATTTAAAATGGGGCTCTTATTTGAAAAGTGTCTACAAAAGGTGGTGCAGTCTGGTTTTGTTGAGACATTTAAATGACACTCATGTGGTCCAAGGTATCTTGCCATTCGACGTCTTTTGCTTACTGCATTAAGTTTGCAAATAATGGAAAGATTTGTATATAGAAATACCTAAAGCTCGACCAAGTCTTTAAACAAAGTTACTTGTAAAAAAAAATTGAAGCACGTGAAAATTATTATGGCCTTTAGGAAACCTGTTTTTAGGAAGATGATTGTATCTACAGAAGTTTTCTCCAAGGGTTTAACAAACTAGGACTGCGTCAATTACGCAAACTCGAAAAACAGTCTCTAAAATACATGTTCATCGAAAGGTGGTCGACGAATAAAACAGCAAAGTGTGTACCGGTTGAAATCGCACTGCCTAATATTGTAACTATTAAACTAATGTTTCTGCTGTGTATGAGTTTACCAAATGTTTTAGTCCAAGAATAAGTGTTTCTCCATATTTTTATAATTATTCTCAAGACACACCTCACGAACTCTTTTCCTTGGTTGATGTCAATTACTATATGCGCGAAAGCCCGCATCCGAGAGCAAAATGCAATGTAATGACTGGGCCCCGGCTGGCTTCATTAACTATAATTCCACATCGAAATAAGTTCAGCAATTAACCTCTGCCTTTATATGTTCTTTCAAACATATGCACAAAGTTGGAGATTTATGGCTACGCAGATAAAACCGAAAAATGGAAGCATCAGTGTCCATCACCCACCCTTTAAACTTTGTTCAAGGCGCCTCAGCCAGCCAACGAAGACGAATCTCCATGCAGTCGTAATCCCTTTCGTGTGCCCTGATGTTAGAACAATCATGGAAGCACTCGACAACATGAGTTAGTTATTTTTTCAGGGCTGGTGACCGAGTTCCAGGACATCAGCCTCGCCAGCTCGCTGTAGTAGTATGTAATGTCTGCACCATCTGGTAACAATCACCTCCTGCAGTCGACTCTGTGTGATTCGTTCGTCTGATTCTCACACTACGGGTTTTGAACTGAAGAAGTAGTTGACCTAGTTGGATTTCATGTTCATGCCCTAAAAACTGCTGAGCCATTTACCCCCTCCCCGAAAAAAGGGGGGCAAATTGAGATGAACAGAATAATATGATTTGATTTAATCTCCTTTCCTCCTCGTACTCACAGGTTTACACAACGCAAGAAGTATTTATCCGTCGATGTTGTTAGATACTTGGGTTTGCTACTTCCTGGGTGTCTTCTAAGATCCCATATCCACATTTTACAGGGCTAACACCGGGCGGAACAGCGGCGTATCCAGCTTTTGGTGGGGGGGCAAATTCAAAAGTGAATGCGGCTTCGGGCTTATTCAAAATGATGTTGGTCAATGATGATCAATATCAAAAATGATCAATAGCCTCATTCACGGTCCTAACATCTTTTTTTATTTCGTGGTGTTGTGTTCTTATGGGTTTGGTGCTAATATTCGATTTAATAAATATCACTGGGGCAAGCTGCCCCCCCCCCCGATACGCAACTGGGGCGAAATTCTAACTCTATACTTCCTTCTTTTTTAATTAATTGTCAGACCAACTGTTGGCCTGTAGACTTGAAAATAAAAGGACAGAATAATTATGAAAGATATAATAGGTCTCTTTAAATTGCATCAGTGTCTTCATCAAAATCACTGTTCACCGATTTCAGTTTCCACTTAAAGATTACATTTATTGCCTTTAATGCAAACCGACCACAGTTAAAATTTATAACCCATCGATGCAAAATGGCACTGAAGATGTTGAAGGCATTGGACGAGCCGAGCGCACGCACTCGTGCAATTAAAATGGCGCTATTAGCACTTATGACACACAAAAGCCGATCACAACCCGACAAAGGTTTCGTGCTAATTTCCTGATGAGTATCGAGTACATTAACGGTAATTACGCACCTCGTTAACGACTTGAAAAGACTTTGTGGTCCATGATGCAGAAAGTCACTCCGTGATAGAACCAGCCCAGCTCTTTATTATGAGACAAGGCCGCTAAAAAAAAAATTTTTAGGTTTGAATCAAGTCCGCAGGAGAGAGATTTCGCCTTGCTCTTTAAGTTTAAAATTTAGACTCGAATCAGAATCTGAAGGCCGGCTCATACTTGGTGCCAAATTGAACACAAACGCTATTTTGTGACGTCAGATCAGAATAGTCACGCTTTGAATTCGCAAAAGTTGAGCAGATTTAATTCTAGCGAAAATTCAGTGTAGACGTCTCGTGAATTTTAATTT